ATTTGACCAAGTTTTAATGTGCCCAATATTCTAACTGACTAAAAGACGAAACTAAGCACACTACTCTCACTATATATGACTTGTGTGGCAGTGAAACATCCCATTGTTCATTACATCTCTACTTTGTACTTGACAACCCAACTCTCATTTGTAGGCCCTTTCCTATTAATCGTTATGAAAACATGTACACCACCAACACCTAATAAATAATTGTCACGGGTAAGCGCCTAATGCAACATATGAGTTGTTGTTATATCAAGATAACCTATCCTATTCTTAGTCAACTATAAAGTCAGACGTAGCATCTGCTAGTAAGCTTTGGTAGGAAGACTAGAAGGCCCACTAAACCCATGAATTTTCTTAGAAACTAACGGGAACTCCGAGAATTGACTCCAAGGTCTTTGAAAAGTCACTAACAATACTTGACGTTACGAAGCTTGAACTTATTATGGGGTTCGATAGCTAGTCATTATTAAACGCATCTAAGAAGAAAAGTAGCTATTCCTATCCTTATTTTAGATTTTAAGGTTAGTGCTACTCTGCGCTTTGCATTTGAGTCTTTTGTTTTTAACTAGTAATTATGTTATTTCACACTAATCAACTTAGGTGACTAAAGTGTCAACAATAGACGATCATAGGAAAACATAACATTAAGAGGACCTAACAAAATTCCTGCATAGAAATTAACATTTTATGATCTGTAAAGAATAATCCAGCACAGTAAATAATATCATATCTGAAATATTAGCCTCACGATAATATTTAGATGTTTAACTGGAGTTTGTGAAGAACTAACCCAAGAACGTGAGGGTATAGACGAAATATTCACTTTTCGGAAGACTCTGCAACAGACATACTTTGCGATGTCCGGCAATAGTTGTATTCCTTGACCGTCAGGCGGCGTTCGACTCGGTTAATTATGAGGTCCTCTGGCGGCGTCTGTCATTGTAAGACACAACAAAGTAGATTAACCTTGTACAGGCTCTCAGCTCGAACAGTATTTGTCGAGTAAGAGCTGGTGGCGGTTATGATCCTTAAGTATTAACAATTTACTACCGTTAAGTACAAACTATCTTGATAAAAATAGTAACCCACTGGAAGTATTGTACTCCTATGCAACATATATCCTTGCAATCGAATGGAGATAACGGTGGAACCGAGTTGCTTTTCGCACCTTGAAGTCACATCTACACTTACATAGAAAGAGAGCACTAGTAAGTTCACATTATTTGAAAGTTGGAAATGGCCTGCTCCAATGTAAAACGTTAGACTGTGTAAGTTAGGAGAAGCTGAGGAGCGACTAACACAAGATATGCCATCGATAAAATTGTCAACCGCTGAATTGGGACGAATCAGGTGAATTTTTAACTATGTTCAACATGATAATTCCCACCGATGCTTGGAGATCTTAAGTTAATGAGATTGCAGTGGAGTAGATGCAATCATTCCTGATCGTCTTTTAAGTTTTGAGCCTTTCATTCCTCCATTTTATTTCCTATTTCAAATCTTAGTTTAAACTTAGTTAATTCATAAAATCAAAACGTATATATTAACTTAGTTTTCTTTCGCTGCATTGTGATATGCCAACTTGGGTCGACGCATAGTTCCGCCAAATCCCTTGTTTATGAGTGATTAGCATTGATAACTTCCTATGCCCTTGATACTGATCCCAGCGCCCAGACTTTATCGTTCTTCTTAACGGGATGTGAACTAGTAGTAGGTTACCTAAGGAAGTAATCACCAACAGCTCGACAATCTATTGTAAACAAAGCACCATTAAGTACTCTCAGTGAATATAGCTAGACTAAAATACCAAAAGCCAGTGATGAAATTTAATTCATGTGCGAGCAGCACAATGTAATCAATAATACCTAATTGATCTATAATAATGAAAAACAAAAAGCATCACAGACAACTACGAAACAATATTTGCAAATATCTAATCGTTTCAAAAATGTGAATGTGACCATGAATTTCCATATTGTCAATAACGAGGATGTGTCAGCCCAAAATGTATGGGAAGCAAATACACAGGATATTATACAATCAGCATCCTCAGTAGACTGGGCAACATAGCTCAGAAGTGAGGAGTAGTAGCTAAATTCATTAGCAATACTATTCCTCTTACCGTTGTTGTTGTTGACATATCCGATGAAGGTAGAGCGTGCGAACTAGTTAATTGACACCCGAAATGAAAAGTAAAGAGCGGCTGATTAGTTTGGTATACCGCAGATCAGACTGTGAATTCAATAAGATTTTGTTAGACGGTTCAAACACTTGGTTCTCTAAGAGGTCGATGGTTAATTTTAGGAGACTTTAATGCACCTATAGTGGATCGAAAGAATCTGAGGACTGAGATGTCAAAAAATTCTTCCGAACCGAAACTAGTTCACGCGGTTATCACATGTGCCCTAGTGCAACATTTGAAAGAAGCAACTAGGTACGACTTGAACTCTTAATCAGCCTTATTAAATCTCATATGAGGATGGCGTTACAAAGTTCACTGTATTGCACCCACAGGTAAGAGTAACCATGTAGCCCCAGTCTATGATTCCCACATCGTTGTCAACAACAATATGTCAACCCAAGCCAGATCGAACGTCTGGAAAGCAAATATACGGGAAACTATACACTCAGCATCCTCAGTAAATCGGAAAATAGAACCAGAATCCCCCATTGAAATGGATTAGGAGGTATTCAGAAATTTATACACAAAAGCTACTGCACCGGACATCCCTTGGTGAAGAATGTGGGATGGAGTTAGGTTACTGGGTGCTGACGAGACAAAATCTCAATGTCAGAAAGCCCAAAATATCTTCTCCTTGTTTCTCCGCAAGTCCATGAGATTGTATGAAGATGAGCTTGTCAAGGAGTCTGTAGAATACCCTAAATGCCAACATTCGTGCATAAACCAAGAGACTAAAAGAAGAGACAACGTTGCAGCATTATTGAAAGTACTACTGCATTATTAGTAGAAGACGATTATAGTAAAGCCCATGTATTCTCAAAATACTTTAGTAATGTATATACCGCAGAGATGTCCCCCCCCATTGGTTCATGCAATCCCTAACACAAACTCTGGACGCTGCAACCACTAAAGAAACTGATTTCTTTAGCTTCTTAAATGAGTATGACATAGGTAAATAAAATGGCCCCGATGAAATGCGAATTTTACCGCAAAACCATTAAGCACATGTTTTAATCTATCTGTAACCCAGGGTCGATTACAAAAGTACTGGAAGAACGCCATAGCAAGTGGTATTCAATACATGTATGAGACACAAACCTGAGAACTACCAACCCATAAGCCTAGCCAGCGTGGTTGTTGAAATTTTAGATAAAGTTATTCTGAAGTTAAGTATCTGGACAAAAGCCGAATTCTTTCTGAAAAGCAGCATGGCCTTAGGACAGGTAATTCATGTCCCACAAACTCATTAGTAGCCCGTGAAAGTTAGCTAACTATCAAATACCAAAAGCCGTCGATAGATGCAGCCTGCATTGACTTCAGTATCTTTTGACAAAGATCCTCCAAACCGGCTGTTATCTAATTAAAGTAATATCGTGACTGCAGGCAATTTATTTATCTGAATAAAAAACTTCCTAGTTGGGTGTCAACAAAGAGTACAGGTGAACACGAAATTGTCTAGCTGGGAAACTGTACTGGCAATGAGCCTCGCGGTACAGTTATGGGGCGTTTTGTTACTCTTGTATGCAAATTATCTTCCTAGTCTCCCACTGTCATCGGTTTTGCAATATGCTGACGATATCAAAATATGGAGAGATAAAGTGGTGATAGTTTAGAGCTTCAGAATAACCTGGAGAAACGATCTACAATCTGGCGGTTGCGGATAAATGCTTCCAAGTGCATTATGATGTGTGTTGGTCACCAAGGTACAGATACATACACAATAAATAACATTGAGCTACCTGTTGTCCAGACACAACTTAGAAGTCGTCGTTAGCCAAGACTTGACAACTACTGCACTCTGCCATGCGATAACCGCCAAGTGTTTTAGAACATAATACTCAATACATTGTCCTTAGCCATGTAGATGCTAAAACCTTTCTGAATTTTTATACACTATTTGTTCGACCTAAGCTCAAGTAATGTATGTAAGCGGCTAGTCCCTGTCTAAAAAGACAGTGAGCTGTTAGGAAAGGTTCAAGGAACCGCAACTAAGCTATTTCCCAGCATCGCAAAGCTTTCGAATGATGATTGACTAAACTAAGTTTATTTACCTTGTCATATTGAAAAACCAGAAGTAAATTGATCACAGTTTTCAAATTACTTAATGATAAATTTGCATCTGATATGCCCTCACTTTTCTTACCTTCAAAAACAGAATTTACGAGGACACTAAAAAAGTCCACAAGCCTAGAACCAATCGTTTGTCAGCTGACTATCGACTTTTCCATCAAATCATCAATCAATGGAACTTGTTACCTCAACACGTGGATGGAACTACATCTGTCGACGCTTTCAAAAGAAAGTTAGATCAACTGAGACAAAAATTGCGAAAACTAACAAGGGTTACTTAGCCTCCTATCCTCTTCAAACCACAACTGATATATCCAAGATCCAAGCTGAAGCTAATATTCGATGAAGGAACCTAATGTATAAAATGAACAGATGAAACCGAAAGTCCTTTGGATTTATGGGCACTTATATTGAATGCTGCAAACGGAACCACAATAAATCCATAAAAAATCAGGGGTGGAGTTCCCACTCCAAACGGTTGAGAAACTCATGAGGTTTTTTAATGATACTGAGAAAGTGGACTTCAAACAATTAGTAACGGAAACCAGTAAACTAAGACAGCTCATGCAGTACACTGTTAATAAGGTGACGCCCTTTATGCTCAGAAATTCTGAATTAAAGTCTTTGCAACTAATGTTCTTCCAGCAAACCTACTCAAGGTAAACAAATGCGCACATACAACTTCAGTCAGACTACTTCAATGAGCTAATTAACGATTCGAAGGTGACAACCGTACAGTGGGACACTTGCACACGATAAAAAGTGAGAATAGTTGAGAACAGAGGTTATCAATAAAGTTAGAAGACATAACATAAACGTTTTATTGGTTTACACATCATTAACCGGAAAAATTTCGGCACTTGCAACCCCAGAAAACAATAAAGATTTATTTCGAGCATCATTTAAAAAATTTTCTTTACATTATTCGTTTTCTGTCTCCTCTTTATGCTGCATCAAAAACGTTGCCAACGCTTCGATTGGATTGGGCGGTCTGGGGTTTAAAGAATTTAAAGGAGACAATTTATTACCTTTCTTTGGCTATCATATTCAGGCCCTTTAAAAGTACCGGGACCACAGTTTTATCTAAATAGACCCTGGTATCTGTGGTTTTTGACTCCTGTGTATTATTATCATCCTGAGATTCCATAGTTTTGAACTGACTCAAGGCCACCAACTGACCTTCAGTCAAATGGTTCAAATGGTTGTGAACGGAATAGAAGAAGCTTTCGCTTATCAGGCTTCTGTGTCTAGTAGCAGGGGATCACCAACACCTCCAGGCAAGAACCTATGCATATTAACGGTAAAAGAGAAAAAAAAGAAATTGGTAAATCATAGTAAGATACTATCCTTAGTCCTTAAGAATAGATCAAGTCGCCTCTTAAAGGACTCCTGAGAAGGAGCTTGGACTAGCTCAGCTGGTAGCGAATTCCAGCATTTGTTAACCATCAAGGGGTAGGGGTTGTGCCTGCAGTCTATTCTGCTATGTTGTATCTCCAATTTTTGGGTGTTACCCCTTAAGTTAGTATTGAGACTAAGCTTAACTAGGTGTTTAAGAGGATTTCCAGAATATTAAGGATACTGTAAGCCATTAGAAGGTCACCTCGAAGACGCCTATACTCTAATGGGTAAAGGTCGAGTGATTGGAGGCGCTCATCGTAAGGTTTAAATTTGATTCCCCGAACTGATTTCGTGGCTCACCTTTGGATACGCTCCAGAGTGTCCTATCCTTTTGGGGTGTAGGGGGAATACTATGTTTCCGTACTCTAAATGGGGACAAATAAAACTGTTGAAATTTATGTGGAAATTTCTCCCGTCAAACTGACCAAAAATACGCTTCAGTGTTACCAGTGCAAGGTTCGCTCGAAAGGCATTTTTGTCACAGTTGGCGTAAGACTTTAAATCGTAGGACACCAGAACTCCTAAATCTTTTTCGACTCGGTATACTACTAGAGAGGAGTTTCCTAAGTTGTAACTGTAGTCCACGACGTATCTCAGGTGGACTACCTTACACTTTGAAATGTTAAAGGTAAGTCCAACTTTGAAGTCTAGTCAGATCCTCCTGAAGTGCCTGTATATCTTCTTGGTTGTGTATCTCTCTCTAAAGTTTCACGTCATCGGCAAAAAGTAATGTCTGACGTTACTTAATGAGGAAGATCATTCATATAAATCAGGAAGAGGAGAGGTCCTAGTACTGACCCTGGGGGATCCCACTAGGACATTCCATAGCCTGTGATAAATTAAAGTTTACCTTGACCTTAAAATGTCGATTTGTCAGATATGAACTGAGCCATTCAATTAAAGGTGGTTTGATACCCCATTTGTCTGAGCTTACTGATAAGACATATGTGATTAATCCTATCAAAAGCTTTAGAGAAATCAAGGTATACACCTTCCCCTTGCAATCAAGGATGATTGTCCATCTGTCCACCGCAGTCAGCAGGTTCGTCATACAGGAGCAACCCTTCCTGAAACCATGCTGCTGGGGTGAGAAGAAATTTAAGGACAACATATAGTCGTGCATACCATCGTATATCAAGGACTCCATGTTTTTTGAAGGCACAGAGAGAAGAGCCGCCGGTCGGTAACTTGAAGTTTTGCTGAGTCGACCTCCTTTGAAGATTGGTGTGATATGAGCCGGCTTCCAATTTCCCGGTAGTTTTCCTCGACTTAGCGGTGCTGCCAGGATTGAAGCTGCTTCCCTCAGTGTAGCAGAATAGACCATATCTGGACCAGGAGACGTGTCTGTTCTTAGATGCCGCAGTTTTCGGAACACCAAGTCAGCGCTCAGGCTCACTACGGAAAGTCCTGTGCAGTTGCAGACGAAGCTGCCATCAGTATAGTTGATGTGGGTCAGTTGAAATGTCCGGGAGTATTGCTCAGCCATAGGGTTAGCGGCGTCACCATCGTTATCGGTCGAGCAGTTAGGACTTAACATTTGAGAAACTCCAGTTTTGGCTTGATGAAGAGAGGCTGCGTAACGGAATAAGCTTTTCGGATTGGAAATAAATTTATCCATAAGCTTTAACTGGTACTGAAGCCTTTCTTGTCTTATAGCCTTCGTGCATATGTTCCTTATATGTCTTTATTGTCTGTACTCGCTATTGTTGTCAGTTTGTTTGTACTCTGCCCAACAGTGCCTTTTACGGCCTAACAAACGAAAAGTGCGGTTTTGATGATTTTAGGTTGCGTGTAGCTTTTGGGGACCGTCTGAGGAATTGACTGTTTTGTAGCACATAAGAGCGTGTGCAGTAAGAAGTCTTAATGAGCATCCAAATGAAGTTGAGGGCGAACATCCCAATCCACCTGTTGTAGATAGTCCTGTAGAGCTGACACATTCGACCGTTTGAAATTCCAGCGCTTGTTGTTGTTGGGATATCTTAACTCAGTTTTGCTGACAAAACTGAAGGCTATAACGGCGTGATCGCTTTTCCCCAGGGGAGCCAGAATTGAGGGGTTGTCAACTAGAAATTCTTCGTTTGTAAATACACAGTCTAAGCGTGACGGTGTCCGACTGTTCCTCCAATGAGTAGCCGACTTCACATTTTCATATAATCCCGAATCCTCAATGAGGTTGAAGAACCGAGCTTCGATTGAATTTTCACCTCCAATATACGTATGTTCCGCGAAGTTGACTCTAGGGAGATTGAAGTCCCCTAGAATCACGATATGAGTGAAACTGAGACGCGTGGAGCGGGATAGTCCTTCCAGCATGCGACTGTCATACTCGATGTCGGCAGTGGGCTTCTTATATATGACTCCAACCAGGCACCTCGAAGTAGTGGACAATCTCACAGAGCACCGTATGGATTCCTCAAGATTGTTAAACTCATGGTTGTGAACTTGGTGTACCTCCAAGCCAGATCGCATGTATAGGGCTACTCCACCCCCAATTCCTGTTTTTCTGTCATTGCGAAACAGAGACATCCCAGGTATTGCTAGCTCCTGGTCCGAGTACTGAGAAGATATCCAAGTTTCAGATATTTTTATCAGATGAACCTTATTGGCATTGCTAAGTTCACGTAGCTCATCCATTTTATTTGGTAGACTCGCGGCGTTCGTGTATAAGCAGTCAATGCTTTCAATTTGAAACGCGTGGGCTTCTTCCTGTTTGTCTGTATGAGCCTTACGTGAGTGGACAGGTAGCCTACCTATATAAGTTTTGCCGGATTGGTAGGGCCTGTCCTTTACACGTTTTTTTATCTTTAAGACAGTCCACAAGTGAAATGGTCAGCTCCAGCTTGCCTATGTGCTTGATCCTGGCGTCATATAGCCTGTCCGGGTGCATGTGGATCCCAGTTGGCAACCGACGTCTGTTGGCACGAAATGCTTCCAGAGCTGCGGCCTCCATGTGGGAGGATGGGGAAGTTATTCTCATTAATCGGGATCTAGAGTCACCGTCCTTCTTGGCTAGTCTCGTCACATGCTGAGTCAGTATGTTTTTGAGCCTCAAGAACTGTTTGATGAATTCCCATTCCCGAATGTCAGAGTTTGCTTAATCAGGGTCCGTGTTTTCCGGTACACCTTGCACAATGATATTTCTTCCGCGGAAAAACTTCTCTCCAGAATCTTTAGGGATGTTCCGGATGAGATTGTGCTCAGAATACAGTATGTCGGGCAATATTCTGACGTTCCCATCGGATTTCAGTAAATGACTAGCTAGCAGAACATTCTCTACATCGGTAGCATTCTTGAGTGTTACACGAAGTAGCCTCGGGTGGTTTTGATGCTTAGATTCCTTTTCCCGATAGAGCCGTGTAACCGTCAAAGGCTCTACTCTAGGAAGTTCAAGCTTTTTGTTCAATTCATCCCAGATAATCCTGTCATTTTTGTCCTGCAAACTGAGAGGAAGGTCAGAGTTGTCTTTGAGGTTCATGATTATGAAAGAGTCATCACAGACCGTTAGTGTTTTCTCAGGTTTTCCGGTGCGTTCAAGTTCAGCACGTTGTTGTTTGGAGAGCGAAGCAGGTTTTTGAATCCCAGGCTTTTTGATAACCGGGCGGACGTTTTTGGGAGTAGACTGAGCGATCAAATCAGTAATAAGGATAGTAGGTTGGTGAACCTGTGTTAATCCTGACAAATCGCCTTCCAGTCAAGGTCCAGTTTCTCCTTGAAAATATTCATTGATGGGGCTGATAATACTTGTTCGGGCAAGGCATTCCAATAATTGACTACTCGATGAGAAAAACGGAACCCCACTTTAAGTTTATTAGATTGCGGTTTGTGAACCCTCTTGCTATGACCTTGGAGATTATTAGTGCTGGGGGAGCAAAAAGATAAGACATATTAACGCCCAAATCATAATTAAAGATACGAAATGCCAGTAAAAGGTCACTTCGAGTCCTATGATACGACAAGGGGAAATATTTAGGCGTTTTAAACGCTCATAGTAAGGGAGATTAGAAAGACCCTTTTTCGTGTCTTTTTGGTAACCCTCGCGTTATTAATAGAAGAAACCAGAATCGTAGGAAAATAGGTCTTTATTTTGATCTTCGCGCAGTCACAGTGGAGCGTGGGATTCCTTGTTCAGACAAACAAAACCTCTCAACATACCATATAAGATACTTAGAAATATAACGCCTAAACAAAATAAAGAAGTGAATAAATATCTGAACTATGCTGTCCTGACATATGCTTAGTTGCTTGAGATCAACTCTTAACCAACCAACCTAAGCTGTTACATTAGCTTCCCCCTAGAATCGACTTCCGTAGGAACGTCGGTTCGATAACCTATTTATCAAAAGCAATTTAGTTCTGTTTCCGCAGTCCAAGGGAAAATTATGAACTCGCTCACTATGACTTCAAATCAATGACGACTAACTCCATCGGTAATCGACGATAGTCCGTGGATGTCCCTTCATTTGCCAGCTTGCCATCTTATTTTGTAACATGCAATTTCTACTACACTATCGCTGACGGTTTGTTACGTGCTTGCAAGAGAAAGAGTTTGAGAAAATGGAACAAGAATGTCCGAGGAAGTGCCGCGAGCGGGCTGCCCAACACCATGTTGGTGAGGTACGATTTTTCTATGCTCTGTCCGGCTATCAGGTGTTTACTCAACTGCCTCTTGAGTCGCCCTCAAGTAAAATGTAAAGAAGAGTCTACTTCAAATGTATTAATGAAAATCAATAAAACCTGAAGAACTGCTCCACTGCCTGCATAAAATAATAAGGTACAAAATGAAAATACATAAATATAATTGATAATTGTTCGGTTCCCCGTGTTTTGCCTCCAG